TTGCACGCGAGGTTAAGTCTTGATAACATATCAGTTAGTCGTTTCAGAGCGATAGCGCTCCTTGATTAAAACAAACAACAAAAAATTTTCGTAAACCTTCAAACTGACACTGCAACATGAGACCCATCGAAACAGGTAAATTAATGCATTCACAGAAATAAACACCGGTAACGTAACTAAAGGGATATTCACCGAACTCTTTCGGGTCGTACGCGACATATAAACAAGTGTAGCTTTTAAAAATTATGTATTTTAATATACCACGTTTTTAGCTATCCGCTATGAAAATCAATGATTTTCAAAAAATGATAAGTTATTGTTTTCACTTTGGTTTATGAAAATCGAGTACTCATCAGATCAAGCTATTCTTGCTACTTTTGCGATGATGTCCGTATGTCCGTCCGTGCGTGCGTGCGTGCGTGCGTGCGTGCGTGCGTGCGTGCGTGCGTGTGCGGTGCGTGCGTGCGTGTGTGTGTGTGTGTGTGTGTGTGTGTGTGTGTGTCTGTGTAAACATCTCATAACTTTGTAACGGAGTGTCCGATCGAAAAGCGGTTTTCGGCATCTGAACGAGCCTGACTGAACTTAGATTTTCTGATTTAGACCGAATCGTCGCAGTTAATCCTCAAAAGTTCGAGAATTTTTAATTTTCAAAAAGTAGTTCATTTGGAATTAATTAGTTCGACACCCTTGTTTTGATCAATTCTATAATCTAATAAAAACTTCTACTCAAAAAACGACGTCGATTACCGTGAACCGCATCGAAATCATTGACGAAAGAGATCTCCAAAAAGTGTTTTTTTTTTTCAAAATAACTTGAAAACATTCCGTGAAATCAATTTCTTGTAATAGGCATTTTTGTTAAGTTGAAAAAATTTCGTCGATTGCAGTAAATCACATCAAAATCGATTGATATGATCGTGAAATATTCAATTTTAAAAATAAAAAAAAACTCATAATAATTAGAATTTAGAGCGTTTCGATATTGAAATTAGCGGGAGGTTCCAGGGATGGCCCGCAGGGTCAACCAATTTTTTTTTGTATTCTTACATTGTAATTCGATTTTGAGCTTTGTTCAAAATTTAAAGTCTTAAGCATCGTGAAATTAGTTTAAAATCAATTCTACCCGAACATATACGAAAGCGTGTTAAAAACTGCGAAGCCATGCTGCAGGTATATTACACGAGGTGAGGTCAAAAAGTTCGCGGATGATAGGGAAGGATAATTAAATGAAAAATTAAACTAATTTTCCTTTTAACTGTGTTCTCCCTTAACCCTAATACATTTATTAGATCTGTAAAATAACTTATTAACACCGTCAAAAAAAAACGATTCACTTCATCATCCTAGTAAAATTTTTTCCCACCCAGTTCTTTCTGCATTTTTGGAAAAAAAAATATTAATCGCTTGGGGCCAAGTCTAGGCCGTAGGGTGGGTAGTATTTATATTTAACATAGTTAATTACCGATTTACTTTATAAATTTTTTGTTTTTCGCAGGAAAAAAAACTCCAAACTTTTCGGATACAATTTAGTATAGAAACTAGATTATTCTTGACTTGCTTTCTACTAGATTTATAAAATTTCATTATAATCGGTACGGCAGTCAGACAGCAAAAATTTTTAAAATGGTCATATTTGTTTTAATGGAATGCTAATAATCACCTCAGTTCAATTACACACATAAAATATAAACATAAACACTCACGCCTGTCACCCAGAGGGGTAGGCTAAGACTACAAACTTCCATTTGGCACGATCCTGACACACCTCTCTCGCCTCCTCCACATCCATATACTTACGCAACATGCTCGTCGGTTAAGGGTACTCCTAATTTGGCCCATTTTTAATATATCGCCAATTTGGTCGATAAACTTTCGCTTAAGACGTGTTCCCTCAGTTCAATTAATGGCAGTTATTTCGATATAACATACAGACATTTTATTTATCTGTATAGGTATACCGTAATAACGTTTTGATCTTGTTTCTGCAATAGGTATTGCGTATGTGGGCAATGCAGATTCGATAAGCTATCATTTGTAATCGCAATTTCGGTTCGTATAGGTAGTGCGTACACGGTGAGTACGTGCACGCACTCACTACGTAAAAAATAGAAATATAAACGTTTTTATTCAACATCTCTATATACAAAAATAATTCGCTGTCCGTTAGTTTCGCTAAAATTCAAAAAAGGCTGGACCGATTTTTATGTAATTTTTTGTGCGTGCTTGAGTGTGTCTTTGTGTGGTTTATATAAATTGAAACCGGTAGGTGGTGCTTTTGTTGAAACTTGTAAATCATTTGTGTGAAGCCTGGACAGATCGCTAGTAGATTATAAATTAAGTATATTTATTTCAATGTGAATCTTATCTTTAATGCGAAAATACTACTGTTCTGGAAGAAACAGTAAGAAACACAGTGGGACTTTTTTATAAAAGGGGAAAAGGACCATTTATAATCAATAAAGTTATAAAATAAAGTTACAGGGTGAGTACGTATACGGCGAGTGTTGTGAGTAAGATTTTTTGGACATAAGTATTTCGATACAAAGTAATTTTAGCATGGAATCAATCTTGAGATACTTACACGGTAGGAGAACGATGGTATTTGGTATTGGATTGTATCAGACTAAATGAATGTTGTATCATTATTTTTAAACGCATCTTATTGAATAAATTACGTAAAGTTAAATATTTCTCTCTCTTTCTCTCTCTCTCCTTGGTCTTGTAGTGATATTTTATAGGTACAGGAACATTTCTAGATGTGTGGTGTGTGCACCAACGTATAGGCGAGTGAGAGCGCGGCGGCCCATACTGCGTCCGTATAAAGTAAAATATGTGGTTGTTTTAGTGTACAATTATTATTTGTGATATAACGATATAAATTAGTTATAGCGTGTATGTTGTCACTACAAGTTCAATGAGTTATCACTGTTGTAATTCCATTTTTGATTTGTGGTTGTAATAAGTGCGTTTGTATGGCCATAGATGTCGACGTGACGAGTGATATCGACGAGTGAGTGGGGTGAGTGCGTGCACCGACCTGCAGGCGAGCGCGAGCGCGGCGGCCAGCAGCGCGGCGAGCAGCGCGGCCAGGTGCGCGGGGGGCGGGGCGTGCGGCGCGTGCGGCGGCGCGGCCACGTTGCGCAGCACGTCGTACATCAGCCGCTCCACCACCACTTGCTCCTGCACAGTACGCCCGCCATACATAGCACCCTATCAAAACTACTGCCGAACATTCACCTCACCCATACATTGCCCCATATAACACATACTTGAAAGAAAGAAACAAAGTATTTATTTCGCCACATAAGCTCAACACCATATTATATATAATTTCTTCTTATTTTTATTTTTTAACCCCCAACGAAAAAGAGCGATGTTACAAGATTATAAGATTGACCGCCATGTGTATGTCTGTATGTGTGTGTGTATAGCACCATAGCTCCTAAACAGTTGAACTGATTTAACTGCGTAAAATTACGTTTACTAGCGGTGATTTTAGACATGTTTTATCGTAGTCGGTTCAGCCGTTTCAACGCCATCAGCTTCTTTTGTTACGATTTTTTTTAATTTTCAATTTAAGTCGTTAACGTTATTAATAATAAACTATTACACGATATCAAACGTAACGAAAAAGGAATGCACTAAGTATTTTTCGTTACAAACCACTACTGCTGTTTTTCAGTGTGATCCCTTTCGTCTCTTTCGAATAGTTTGAATAATTATTCCAGCAGTGGCCACAGTGCTCCACGTCTTGCAAAGGGTTAGTAACGGCAATTTTTATATTATTTTGGTACTTACTAAGACGACGCTGTTGCTCTCCAGAAGTGTATCCCTCTGCCGGCTTTTACGACACCCACGTGATGATATACAATAATGAATATTATTCCACCGCCACTACAAAATAGCACAATGTGGACTAATAATTTATCGCTCACCAGATTTCACTAACTGGAATTTTGGTGAAGGTTTCGTACTGAAAATTTCGAAATTTCAAACTATAGGAAATAACTAGCGAGATAATGAAACTCAATTTCAGTATATACAATGTTTCCTATTACATATCTCGATGTCCTTTTCTGAAACTTCTACCGCGTGTAAACTGCACAAATGTTTTGTTACACAAAGCATACAAAGCATACAATCATATAATTGAGAAGTTGCGTTTTAAATAAAAAAAATTGATATCTTAAAAATTGTATAAATTACAAAAAATAATAATATCTCAGAAGTTTGATCCTTAATATTTTTCACATCTTTTAACTCATTTTTTGTTTTTCTACGCACACGTTCGTCGGGCCCGCACAGCGAGCCCAGCCCCACCTGCCGCTTCAGATAGAGCTCGCTCACTGGGACTCACTCACCTGCGCGCGGTCCACGTCGCACTGGGCGAGCTCGCAATCATCGGGCCCGTACAGCGAGCTCAGCCCTACCTGTTGCTTCAGCTAGAGCTCGCTCACTGGGACTCACCTGCTCGCGGTTCACGTCGTACTTGGTGAGCGCGCAGTCGTCGAGCTTGTACAGCGAGCCCAGTCCCACCTGCAGCTTCAGCTGGAACTCGCTCAGTGGGACTCACTCACCTGCGCGCGGTCCACGTCGCACTGGGCGAGCAAGCAGTCGTCGGGCCCGTACCGCGAGGTCAGCCCCACCTGCCGCTTCAGCTGGGATTCACTCACTGCGACTCAGTGGGACTCACTCACCTGCGCGCGGTCCACATCGCACTTGGCTAGCACGCAGTCATCGGGCCCGTACAGCGAGCCCAGCCCCACCTGCCTCTTCAGCTGGAACTCACTTAGCTGCGCCCCCAACTCCTCCTTGGCCCGCTGCCTTGCCTTGCGGAACACGTTCCGCACCAGCTCCTCCTTCTCGTGCTCTGCGCACACCACACACATACAACACCTCAAACCGGTTCTCTTCAAATACTTACGTATAATTTTAAACTAAGTTACTAAGAGAGAAGCACCGGCAAGAATTTCGCAAATATTATACAGGGTTATTTTGCAATATACGCCCCAATTTTCAGAGAAGGTTCAGAATAAGTAATATAGGCAAAAGGTGCAAAAACAATAATTTAAATAATCTCAAACATTCTGCCCTTTTCATCTTTTAAATTCAGAATGCGTATTATTTTAAATAAATTATTTAACTGATTGTCATTCATAAATATCTAACGCCTACTATTTTACATACGTAAGTGTCGCCCTGTCGGCGAATATGTTGTGAATTGAATTTTACACAGAGGAGATTTGGATACTCTGAAAAATAACCCTGTAAATTGAACTCCATAGCTCAAATTTAATTCTATTATACTTTATTACTTCCACTTTATATGTAAGATAATTAAGTAAAAATTTAATGCCTGCCGATATTCAATTCCAGTCAACCCATAGTGATGAGGTACAGCTATTCTGCTTAGAAATCTATATGAGTTAGTGCCATCCTCTTAGCTACTTCTACCGCTAAGCAGCATTGCACAATAAAGAATAAGAGGACTATCATTACGATCTGTGAGGCTTGAATGCTCTTAATCAATAGAGAAGAGGTAACAATGCATCTCTGCCCTACGTAAAAATTTAGTTTATAAAAGCGCAAATAAAGTTAGCTTATATGATTGTATAGTCAAATTAGAATTATTTTAATCAAAATAATGTCAACGAAATTCGCACATCAATCAAGTGACCGCAACACAGTGCCACTAGAGGAAGAAAAAAAAAGACTATGTGTAACTATATATATATATATATATATATATATATATATATTTTTTTTTTTTGTAAAGTAAAGTTACAGCCTATATACTTTCCACTGCCGGACACAGGCCTCCCATCATTTCTTAGAGGGTTTTAGGGCAAGGAAGTGTCCGCCGCGCTGCCCCAATGCGTGATGGCGAACTTCACATGTCTTCGAAATATTTTTTTTCTTATTTCTCAGACATGCAGGTTTCCTCACGATGTTTTCCTTCACCGCCGAGCACGTGGTAAATCAGCACTTAAAATTGCAATCAACAATTTCATTGGTGCCGGCGGGGATCGAACCCGGGTTACTCGCGTTCTGTTAACTCGTTATATATATATATATATATATATATATATATATATATATATATATATATATATATATATATATAGCATAAGCATAAACACTCACGCCAGTCACCCAGAGGGGTAGGCAGAGACCACGGACTTCCATTTGACACGATCCTGACATACCTCTTTCGCCTCCTTTACATCCATATATCTACGCATACATGCTCGTCGGTTAAGGGTACTTTTAAAGTGGCCCATTTTCAAAATATCGCCAATTTGGTCGATAAACTTTTTTCTAGGGCGTCCCTTCCCGACTCTGCCGTTCCAATCTGCCATATAAATTTGTTTTGTCACTCTTTCCTCATTCATTCTTTCTACATGACCAAACCACCGAAGCATTCCTTTCTTAATCCTGGTCACAACATCATCTTGCATACCACATTTATCTCTTATCATGCAATTTCTCATCCTGTCATTCAGATTCAACCCTAGCATACTCCTTAAAGACCGCATTTCTACAGCATTTATTCTACTTTCGTGCTTCTTCTGCCACACCCAGCTTTCACTACCATACATTAAAGTAGGGACTAACACAGCATTATGAATTATCATACGTGCCTTTTTTGATACATTCTGGTTCTTCACAATAGAGTGTAGTGCCCCATTCACTCTATTCCCTGCATTTACTCGTCGTTCTATATCCTTATCATATCTAACATCCCTGCTAAATACACATCCCAAATACACAAACTCATCCATTTGCTCAATTAACTCTCCTTCTATTCTTATTTCACATACCGTTTTGCTTTCTTCTCTTTCAAAAACCATGACTTTCGTCTTACTTGCGTTCACTTTCATTCCCCTTTCTTTTAATTACCAGTTCATTAATGTAACCATCATTTGCAACTCAGCCGCCGATGACGCAAATATGACTTGATCATCGGCATACAAAAGGCATTTGACGGTTAACTCGCCCATTCTTAACCCACATTCTTCATCTTTCAAAGTTTGCAAACACCTGTCCATAAATAGGTTGAACAGCCACGGGGAAGCCACACAGCCCTGTCTGACACCCTTTCGGATGCCAAGCCAGTCCGAGTAGACCCCATTGATCCTGACACAAGCACTAGAATCCCTATAAAGAGACCTCAATGCCTGCATCAAATCAGCGCTCAACCCATATGAGTTCAGTGTTTGCCATAACACATTCCTGTCCACTCTCTCATAAGCCTTTTTCCAAGTCCATGAACGCACAAAAAACTTTCTGGTTTTTAGCCAAAAACTTCTCCGCAATCATGCGCATGGAAAAGACTTGATCTGTACACCCCATTCCCTTCTTAAAACCCGCTTGCACATCCCAAATTTTTCCATCAGTTTCTTTCATAACTCTTTCAATTAACACCTTAGCATACAGTTTACCCACAATACTAAGAAATATGATACCGCTGTAGTTTTTGCAGTCCTGCTGTGACCCTTTTCCTTTATATATTGGTACTATAACTGCTTTACACCAGTCATCCGGTACCCGTTTTAATTCCCAACATAAATTAAACAAGGTGTACAGCAGGCCTGCCACCACTCCCTCTCCAGCCCTTAGCATCTCGAGTGATACTCTATCATATCCAGCTGCCTTACCTGCTTTCATGCTTTTCATTGCTTTCATTATTTCATCTACACTTATCTCCATACCCCTTTCCACTTCTTTCGGAATTTCTTGTTCATTTAATTCAGACGACTCTTCACTCATAAACACGCTTTCAAAGTATTCCTTCCTTCTGTTTAAATTCGAAACTTCATCATTCAGAATACATCCATTCTCGTCTCTTATAGCATTAATTATAGGCTGTTTTGTATTTCCCCTGGCAGTTCTTACGAGTTTCCAGAACATTTTTATATTAGCCTGGAAATTATCAGATATCCTTCTATCATTCTTATCCGTTCTTTCTTTCTTTTTCCTTTCAACTACTTCTTTTACTCTCTTATTTAGACGTCTAAATTCTGCCTTTTTTCTTTCAATCTCATCATTCATACCACCAGAATTACCAGTTTTAGTTGCTAGTAAATCTAACCATGCTTTCTTCTTTCATCCCACCACAACGTATTCCTTTTCCTTTCATTTGTTCTCTTACTTACACCACATACTTCGGTGGCTGCATCCACCAAACCTTTCTTAATATTATCCCACACAGTATTCAAGTCTAAATCATTCATACAAAACTCATTCAAACACCTAATATTTTCTCTCAGTCTACATTTATACTTCTCTTTCACATCTTCATCTTGTAACTTCTCTATTCTTATACGCTGTAACGCAGTGGTAGACACAGATGTCCGATGTCGCCAACGCTTGAAAAGACCATTAATTCGACATAAGACCAAGTAATGATCCGTCCGCATTTTTTCATCCACAATTACGAAATCTATCATGCTTCTATCATCACCTCTTTCCCATGTATACATGTGAATCTTCTTATGACGAAAAAAGTATTCGTCACAAAGAGATTCTTTTCAACACATACGGTGAGGAGGTCTTCACCATTCTCATTTATACTTTCATCACCAAACGTTCCCAATATCCTTTCATAACTAGACCTCTTCACCCCAACCCTTCCATTAAAGTCTCCTAACATAATAATATTTTCATTTTCCTTACATTTTGTAAACACCATCCTTACCATGTCCCAAAACTGCTCTCGGATGTAAGTGGGCTTAGACATGTCTGGGGCGTACACCCCTAGCAAGAACAGCTTCTTTAAGCCCACTTTCATTCGTATCCATAGCAGCCTCGGGCTTACACATTCATACTCTTTCACACATTGACCCATTCTTTCTGAAAGGATGAAACCGACTCCCTGGCATGCTGTTCGGTCTCGTCTACACCAGACCAATACGCGGTATACGTGCCATGTGCAGTGGCATCCTTTCCCTTTCGTTTCGTCTCATTTACACATAACACATCTATTCCTCTGTCATTCATCATTTCGCATACTTCATCCATCTTATCATTCATTGCTCCACATACATTCAGCGTAGCCAGACGGGCTTCCGCAATCCACTTTTCGCCCCTCCGAGAGACAGAACGTGACGGGTGGCGAACTTCGTCGCCGGTTTTTCTCCCGGAGATTCTTCGCACCCCTGCCCCATTAAAGGGGCGCCGGGAACTCGGGGCCATTTCTTTTATCTCCTGACTCATGGTGCGAACAAGGGGTGGTGGTAGATTTTACGCCGCTACCACACGGCGGGAAGCCTAGTCTATTTTTTTTTCGGCTTTGTCGCTCGTTTAGCACCACCCGGGGGACACGTGTAGGGTGGGCCTAAGGTTTGGTGGTCGAAGCCTACGGACGCGAGCGACTCATCCCTCTATATATATATATATATATATATATATATATATATATATATATATATATATATATATATATATATATATATATGTGTGTGTGTGTGTATGTGTGTGTGTGTGTGTGTGTGTGTGTGTGTGTATGTGTGTGTGCGTGCGTGCGTGCGTGCGTGCGTGCGTTCGTGCGTGCGTGCGTGCGTGCGTGCGTACGTGCATGCGTGTGTGTGTGTGTGTGTGTGTGTATGATGATGATGATTTATTTCATAAAAATCAATTCAGTTTCAGTGTTGAGCTGATATTACACATTTTTAATGCATGGGTTAATTCAAATTATGATTTGATTATAAATTTTGTGACCTATATACGAAGCCTTGGATTATTTTAACCATGAAACATTAATCAAGAAACTTCACCACTAACAGTATAAGTAGTGATTGCTCTAAAATTATTATTTCATATTTAGGTACCAGAAAGCAAAAGTTGTAATTAATACTATGAGTTCTTCCGAGACGATACAAATGGGTGTACCTCAGGGCTCAATTCACGGCCCTTTTCTGTTTCTGTTACATAGTGGGAAATAACCACGATATAGTATTATTTGCTGATGAAACTCTCATTAATTTTCAACTTAAAACGATAATTACTAAAATGTGACAAAGTAAATAATGCTATATCTAATGATTTCTTACATTCACGCGAACACTGCACATTGAAGAAAAATCGGGATAGTAAAAATAAGTTAAAGTAGTAATTAAACTAAATAAAATCCGTAATAAAAATCCGTAAATAATAGTTTTATTCAAAATGCTATATCTAAATTAGTAAATTGGTTTAACGTTAATAATTTGCATTTAAATGGCTTAGTTTAAGAACTAAACGTTTGAAATTCATAACTCCAAATATCAAACATCTAAATAATAATGTAATTTTAAATGGGGAGGAGATGCGTTTTGTCGATACTATTGGAATCACGTAAGACGAGACGTCTCAATGGGGTGGGCCTATATTAAACCTAGCAAGTAGACTTAGTACTTCTGCAATAAATCTACTTATTTACTACTAAATTTGTATATTATGTTAGCTATAAGCAGGAGGGATGCTGTGTATCTCCATGTCGGTCGCTCTCTTTAAATCAGTATGCAATTAACTAGCTTGCCTAATTGACGTACAGTCACTTCCTAAGCGTATCACTATTTAACACAATGTTATTTTAAATGGGGAGGAGGGAGGAGCTGAGTCTTGTCGATACCACCATTTTTTTTGGATTCACACTAGTCGCGAAGCTTCAATGGGGCCCCCATATATCAAAATTATTAAGGCCGAATACGAAGCGAACTGGCGAAATATAATGTATTTCTCTTCACTACAACTTTGACCTGAAGTAATTCTAAGCGTTAAAACATTTTTGTAGGTTTGTTCGGTTCCTTCACAAGGTGCCCGCAGTTTTAAAATTTTAAAATAAATGAATATACCGACAAATAAAAAAAATTTAAGAAATGATATTTAAAAATGATTGTTCTTCCAAAACTCTGTGAATTTTAATTTAGGAAAAATTCTTTTACGTAAAAATGTTTGTATTGTGATTCCGAAGGTGCCTGCTGTCTTTATTTTCGATACAAAATATTATTTATTAACATAATTCGTTTTAATTAAAAACACCTAATAACAATATCGTATATTGCCAGATAAAAGTTTGCCGTAATAAATTACCAGGCGCTTCGACGTGTGACGTAAGGTGACAACGGTCATTGTGTCTGTAGCGAAAATCGTTAATTTAGTGTTTTATACGCGTTTAAGTGACTATAAATGTGAATATGGATAGGAAAAGAAATAAATGTTACCTAAGTGGTAAAACAAAGAGAGTTTATCGCATGAACGCTGACGAATGTTGTATTTTGAGGTTACTTATATATCTTGTAAGGTAATTTTTCGTTTGAGGCTGCCTAATAGGCTGCATTTTTACTCATTTATATTAGCCAAACTGATCATTTATACTTTTCTAGTTTCAAGTGAGAAAGACTAAAAATGTAAATATCAAGACCCAGTCGGAAAAGAATGTACAGAGTAGATCAAGCACAGAGCCCGCAAATAATGTCATAGTCAATGTATTGTCCGAAAGCATAGGGTAAGTACATAATTAAGAAAAACCGAAATACTTCGGATGTTAAGTGATTGACCAGTCGGAGTAGTCTTGTGAGAATTTACATACACAGTACCTATCCCCACTATGGGGCAATCACCGACTTTTTAGTTTTTTTTTCTTTATTATTTATGCAATTTGCATTACGGCATATTGTAAGACTCATAAGAACAAACATTTTCAGTTATATGAGGTTCTTTACGTACGATGCACCAATTAAGAAAAAAAAATCGATATCAATTCAATAACTTTTCGAACAATATTTTATAACGAATAAAGTACGGAATTTATAATCTATAGGAACTAATATTATAAATAAGACAGATTTATTTAAGAAGTAAGCAATGCTCTCTGTGTTGTTCATTACACTGCATACTGAGCTAGCTCAGTCAAATATAATCAAAGCTCGTACGGCTTTGATTATATTAAACATGTGTATATAAACAAAGCGTACGAGTAACACACGTGATGTACGATAGACGGCGCGTGATTTGCTGCGAAACGAGCAAGGTCAATCGCGTCGTATTCGGCCTTAAGCAGACTTAGTTCTGCAGCATATGCTGTAAAAATATTAGAAGTCTTACCAGTGTTGAAACACTGTTTACTTTAACTATTTCCATATCATAATGTCGTACGGTATTTTGCTGTGGGGACACGCGCCTGACACTGAAATTATATTTGTTTTACAGAAGAGCGCCATTAGAGCAAGCTATGATGTATAAAATAAAGAATCGCTCAAAAAAAATATAAGGAAAGTATTATATTAAATTTAGCCTCTCAAATATCAACATTTATGAAAATGTTATGTACGTACACAAAAATATAAGTAGTTTAAAAAAACTGGTATTCTTTCTGTAAATACTAAAATACGAGCTAGTATACCAGTTACTCGACTCCACCGAGTCAGTAATTCATACTTGGAGCGATGTATACGCTTTTACAACAAAATGCCAGAAAATATACAAAATTTGACCTCCACAAAGTTTAAATTCTGTATTTAACAAAGTTGGTAAAAAAATAATTAATAAAATATTACGAAATTTATTTGCAGTTTGTTTTGTTGTAACATGATTGTAACTGTTTTATTTATTCAAAAATAACGTACCGCTGTGTTCTTGCTGGTTCATTCCAAGACAGAGGTTTTTTCCAAACCAGTGATAAGTTAAACATAAGAGAGATCTTCAGTAAGCATTTATAATCTATATATTGAATTTAAAAAATCTGTTTTCTGTTTATGGTAAGGATAGAAGAAGAATTCATGCCAATCCGTAAAAAATGGAAAAAAGTTACTTAAATTAAAAGCAGATGTTAAGAAATAGCTATATTCTTTTTTTAATTTAATATTGAGTTCCCCCTCAGTCCCCTTAAAATTCCCATACAGTCGCATGCGCCCGGCAAATCCCGAGGGGTCGCATGCGACCGCACCCACCCGCAGCACTGAAAAAACATTAAAAAACCATTAAAACTAATATTTGGAGACTAATTTTCTAAATCTATACAAAATTCTCTATATAAAAGTCAGGTTTTACTTCGTTACAAAAAGACTATTGTTTTTTGATAACAAAAACAAAACATACCAAGTGAATGTCGACAGCGTGAAAATCACAACTATTTCAATATGTATTACTCGAAATTATTTACGTAAAAAGATAAATTATAATCACACAAAAACTTTTATGACAATTTTATAATAAAACACTATACTATTAAAACAATAATAAAACACTAGAAAAATCCAAAAATCAACACAATAACATTCACGCGAAAATGGCGTACGAAATAAACGTAGATTATAAATAAAATTAAAATATCCATAGCATAACTATTTTTTATTGCACTAGAGGATAGAAAATTTCATATTTTCTATAATGCCACACTACTTCATAGAAAAGTAGTCTCTAAATAAAAGTTTTAATAGTTTAGTGCTGTGTGTACGCGGTCGAAACCGACCACTAGAATTTTGACGGAATAGCGCCGCGGTCGAATTCGACCGCTTAGGGCTTGAAGGGTTGAAACTTTGTCTTCATAATTTCATTTAAGGCCATCTTTTGTGCAGATTATTTATATAGCAAAGATTTTTGGAAGCCTTTGGCAAATAGTAACAAAAAAGAAAGCGTGAAGATTAAGAAAAATCCTCTTTTTTTAAACGAAGTGACCAATGAAATTACAGCCCAACTAATGGTAAATGGATTCTGTAGCCCATGGATATGTGCACCCAACTTCAAACAGATGCATTGCCACCTCTGAGAACTAAGATGAAATGCTTCATAGCCTGCAATAATTATGCTGCGTTCCAGTCTATACGTTTCAGACTGGAACACAGCTATACAAGCAGTGCTATTTAGCGGCAGATAGGTAAGAGGTTGGTGTCTACCATACTGTACTCCTCGCTAGAGGTGTCCTTCCACCTACATTCTACAACTGGAGAGACCTATGCTCGGCATTGATTTTTAAGGTAAGATGATGAAAAAAGAAAGAAGCTAAATGGAAGACAAAAAAGATTAGATAAAAGATGAACTTCACTCACCATAAAGTAGAACATGTTCAATCTCGTTAGCCATTTGTTCGTCGATTCCATTTAACTGTAACACCTGTAAATAAAGGTTTAATTTATTTTAACTACAACTTACAAATGAAGGAATATAAATTGAGCCGAAAGCCAAATTTTGTGTTTTGGAACATATATGCTAGATGCAGCAATAGTCAGATATGGGATGTATAAGTTATAGTAGAGTAGTGTAGTGTGTGAGGCAGAGGTCCATTGTTGGCTGTTGGGCAACGTATAGAATATGTATTGCAGTGTAGAAAAAGATAGTACATGGAGTTTTGTGTAGTGCAGTTTCGTGTAGTGAAGTGAAGTGTAGTATAGAGCAGTGTAGTATGGTGTATGTGGTGTAGTATAGTGCACTGTGATACAATGTAGTGTACTTAGTATAGTATGGTGGCCGTGCGGAACTGCTCCGTCAGCACTGTATAGTAGTGTAGTGTAGTGTGATGTGGCACAGTGTGGTGTAGTATAGTATGGTGCAGTAAAGTGTGGCACACTAACCGCGTTGGGCATGAGGAAGGTGGAGTGTATCTCGTAGGCCCAGCGGCGCAGCGTGGCCAGCGGCACAGCGGCCGTGCGAAACTGCTCCGTCAACACCAGCACCAACCACGCGTACGGACACCTGCACACACACAACACACGAGTTACTAATTATTTTTATAAAAAAAGAATGATATACAATTACACAGTCCACCCGATAGTAAGTGGATGCTGTGGCCCATAAAAATCAGAATGAAGAAATGAAGAATCAAAATTCAGATGCGTTGTCACCCCTGAGGACTAGGATGGAATGTACCGTTTGCAGTACAAAAAAGGTCTCTGGATCACTACACTCACCACAAGAAACACAGCAGTCTTGAGCTGCTATTTTACACTGGTATTCTGTAAGAACGTGGTCTTACCGAAGTCGAATTATTCAATTCTTAAATTGATCATTGCTTACGGGTTGTTTTAATTGTTTTATTGTTTTACGGGGTGTACCCACTCATGCAGGTATCCTAATAAATAAGATTTAACATAAATTACAATACAAATTGATTCAATTGTTGCTAGACAAATTAAATTGGAGGACTGACTAAAGCAATTAGTTAGTTATGTTTATAATAACAACACATACATTTTCTATACAAAAATTGTCAAAATATGTAAAATAATAGATGCAGTAAACTCTTCTGGATATGACATTATTTTGTTTTATCACAATCAATGCCACCACGAATTTAAAGTAATAAACCAGCAATGAAGGAATGTTAAATGTCCGAAACCAGTCCTATTGTACAGTGTCAAAATCACAAGACATTTAGTACAGTTCTTGCAACAACGTCGAGCGGGCTTTACTTGTGGTAATCGTATCTGTAAGTGTGACAAACGAACACACAGTCCATCTGATAGTAAGTGGATGCTGGTGGCCCATTGATACCTGTGTCAATCCTGGATTATGAATCAAAATGCAGATGCGTTGTCACCCCTGAGGACTAATAAGGAATGTCTGGTTTCCATTAAATAGGATCGCTGGTTCTACTGATACGAAACAAAGCAGCATGTAGCTGCTAATATTGCGTTGGTATTCTGTAAGAGCTTGGTACTTCCCTGGTCCAACCGACCTATTTGTGCTACAATCGAGATATACCACGTAAGAGTGCGTGAGAACAAAGCTGCAACTGGTCGCTCCATCCGCCACGCACACTATCGTAATGCGCACGTACCCGTTCAACTACGAGTTGTTACGAGTTTTTTTTTTCAACTCGCTTAATTCCGTAAATTGCATGAACTATATAATGCAATCGTCAAACCGGCTTATAAGCGGGAAGGTTACGCCACGGCTACTGAGTGACATGATGGAGGCTGATATGTAAAAGAGAAACAATTTTCATAAAAATGTTTAAAGGCACCTCCTTTCACCAATTAGCCAGTTAAGCAAGACGGCCATCCTGGCTCTTGAATCTCTGACTGAACGGAGATTGGAGAACAGGCCGGAGCAAGTCGAATTCACCTGCAAAAGAAATACTTAACATGAAAAAAAAGTTTTTACATCCCTTATCGAAGTAAGAGTAACAAACAAGCACACAGGCCACCTGGTGATCTCGTAAGTTGATACTGCGGCCCTTAGACACCTACGTTTATCTTCGATTAAGAACCAACGGTTTACCACTATATCATCCCGTAGGTATCGTAAGCGTTAGCAGTGGGTAACACATCAAGAGATCAGCAGCAGCGTCTTCCTAATACCAACTTTAACCGCGGCTCCACATTGTCACCGTGAAGCTCCGTAAACAGGCGTGAACGTGAATGTGAATGTGGATGGTTTTCGCGGGATTCACGCGCGTTTTCGCCTGTTCCCCGATCCGTCAGTATTTTGTCCCGCGACAAGGGTTCACGCACCCTTCGCACGTCGTCCACGCGTACACATCCACATTCACGGCACCGTGCCATTTCGTTTCGGACTACAAACGCGTACGGAGGATGTAATTTAGTCATACACCATCTTTTTATTTTCCAAGGTTTTCTAATAAATCTCTTGTTTTGGACGTCTAAATAGTGATATGTTGCCACAGCAAATAAAGTTATTGCAGCAGCAGCTTCCACGTCCATTTCGCAGCAGGTTTTACGAAGGATTGTGAGCATCTCGTGAATGTGGATTGACGGCGTGAATTCACGGCGATAACGTGGATCCGCCATCAAACAAACTGCCAACTCGTTAGCCATTTAAAGCCAACGCACCTAAGTTTTGAGTAAAAATTTAGATGCGTTGTCACTCCTGTGAACTAAGATAGAACGTCTCTTTACCAGATGGGTCTCTGTTTTATGCCATACGAAACACAGTAGCGTTAAGCGCTATTGTAGATAACTTACTGTACACTTAGTAAGCAAATACTTGAATACTTATATTTCGCGCTGGCATTGTGAATGCGTGGTCCGTCTCTGTTCAAGCCGACCAATTCATGCCACAACCATAATATAGCTGCTACGTAACTCTACCACGTCATAGTAATATATTTGTTAATACTACATTTTACTGAACTAGAAAATCTACTTACAGATGCGGGCGAGTCGTCCTCCTCCATCGATATAATTGCTCTTTGAGGATCGACGCAGGGCTGGAATCAGAATAAATAATTATAGGAAAATAAAATTTGGAAAGGATACCATATAAGTTTGATTAAAGTTTGCTGGAAAAAGTGACAGCCCGTAGATTCGTTACCAGCAATGACGCTAATCCGTGCCTGTCTCTTACTGTTACTGTTAGCGCGTGTGAAAGTCCATTGCTGAACATAGGTCTCCTCCATAAATATCCTCATAAGCATATCTGCCATAGTTGCCTCGCATGGCAGGCGGGTTGTCAACCGCAAATTTTTATTTATTTATTTGATGTTATTATGACGACGCTGCTATCTCCTGGCTTGTTTCCTCTATCGCCTCTTACGGGACGATATGGCGTAGTAGATACACCGCCACTACATGGTAAGCTGTCTGTGTATACCCTAAAACTTTAAAACTGCTTAATAGACTTTGATTCAGTTTTAAATACTCAATAACTTTCAGTTTTTACAGTTTCACCATCATACACCATCATTTAAAAAATAGTAATTATCTGGTAAAAGATACAAGAAGTCGATGGATGCAGGTGACTCAGGGCTCTACATTTTGTCATTACTTGAGGTAGACTCGTCAAGAGTTGATTATGATAATTATGACATTCTAGACAACTTTCACTCTCCGTTCTATTAAAACGAAGAAGAAAAAAATATAAAAGAAGAAGTAAGCAATAAACAATGAACATGCATATTACCTGTGTATTGTGCGCGTAAGGCGGTGGTGGCGTGCCCGGTGGCTCGCCCACTGCAAATAATTAATTTTATTATTAAGTACAGCAATCTAATGACTCCACTCCACTCACTCAGCAATAAGGAGTAATCTTACGTTCACTAGATGTTGCTAGTTGGAATTCAGGTATTTTTATGGCATAAAGGTGACAAACGAGCACACAATGACACAATCTACCTGATGGTAAATGAATACAATAGTCCATAGACATCTACATCTATCCACGATTAAAAATCAAAATGATAGATGCGTTGTCGCCGCTAAGGACTAGAATGGAATGCTTCGTTACCACTTAAAGGGTTCTCCGGTACTTTTCACTCAACGTAAGAAACACAGCAGCATTAAGCTGCTATTTTACGCTGGTATTCTATGAGAGCGTGGTCCTTCCTGAGTGTATAGATCCGGAGACCCATTTTACTGGAAACGAGGCATTCCATCTTAGTCCTCACGGGTGACAACGCATCTGCATTTTGATTCGTAATCGAGGATAGATGTAAATGTTTATGGGCCACAGCAACCACTTAACATCACGTGGACTGTGTGCTCGTTCGTCACCCTTATACTACAAAAAAAAAGTTTTCGGACGACCATGTGGTTCATCTTTCAGGTAGAAATTTCCAGAAAGGAAGTGGGCAAACCAAGAACAGGTGGGGCCTTTGTAGTATTCGCTCCGTAAACGTCGTTTATGTTGCTGCTTGTGCCGCGTTTAATGTACCGATGATGACAAAAAAGATTCAAATGCGATGAAAATGTAACGCTAATCAAAAAAACACAACATGAGTAATTTTTAAAAAAGAACTCCATATCTTTAAACTTAAATTAATTTGAAAAAAGAATTCATAGCCAAATAAAACTTACTTTTGATTTGAAATTTTGTCAATATTGCAGAACACCAATTTCATAGGTAAAGACTTCCATACCTTAATATACATAATTACGTGTCACGTTGTTGTCCGCGATGAACTCCTAAACTACTTAACCAATTTTAATCAAATTTGCACACCGTGTGCAGTTTGGTCCAACTTGAGAGATAGGATAGTTTTTTTGCCCATGAGTGACCCACAATTTTTTTTGTGCTAATTTAAGGATTTTTAATAGTACATGACAAAGGGTCGTCGAAAAGGGAAGAACAACGTCTGCCTGGCAAGCTAGTTTATTATATAAAAGAAACAGCATTTTTAAAATAGACAACCTTGACCCCTTTTTGAGTAGAAGGTCGGCCAATAGAGAAGTTACGATAGAAAAAAGTTGTGAACTTGAAAAATTTAATAAAAAGTAATCTTACGCTTCTGCAGATCATGGTCCAGATGTTCAGGAGAGGACTGGCTCCTCATGTGAAGAACCGGCACCCCACCGCGGTTGTCCGTCTAGAAACACGATATCTCATGGCAGCTTATGAATAAAAATTGTATACAGTACGATAAATAATATTTTATATGTAATACGAGTACAGTCCAGCGACCTAGAGTGAAATAACTTATCAGATTGTTCTAACGTTCTCTGAATAATACTGTTGAGAGTAAAATTTCGGACAAAAATGTTTTATCAAGTAAATTTTGGATGTTTACTTACATAGAGGAACATCCATGATTTTTTTTTAATAAATAAGAACAGCCAATTAAAAATATAATTTTAAGAAAGTTTAAATTTAGACACAAATGTTAGTCACAATGACGAACAGAATAGAATGTTAATGAATACCGGAAAATTTAATGACGAATCGTAGGACAAAGTCATCATCATTTTATTCGAATTTAAATTCGATATCACACAAAATGCTTTCATTTCTTTAAAATATTTCTTTACTTATTTATAAATATCCGCATAGTTACAAGACAACTCCATTTCAACCTGAGAAAGAATTAAAAATCCAAAGTCCGTATAAGAGAATAAAGTTATTAAATTGTGTAGTGTAAAATAAACAATGATAATTAATTTAAAGCACACAAAGCTACAATGACAAAATGAAACTATAAAAAAGCCAATTAGAAATATTTTGTGCAGTTAGGTGTTGATTACATTACGTGTACCATCGAGAAACGTTTCTTAGGAAGAGAAATTCTCCGATCGAAGTCATCGGTTCAGAGTTCTATCAGAAGACGTTAAACTTACCAGCAAGGGTGGCGGCGGTACGTTGACAAGTGGGTAGCTCATCTGCAACGCTATGGAGTTCGGCTGCGGACCGTCCAGCTCTCCGTCGAGTGAGTGCGACGAGCGGCGAAACTTGGCTTCTTCCTTGTACGACGGGAACGCCATGCCCTCGTGCCTGTGTGAGGGGTGCGGGGGAGGCGGCGTGCGCTTGGGCCGCTCGGTGGAGCGCGGCGGCAGCGGCGGCGGCGCGTTGTCCAGGCACGTGGTGGGCACCAGCGGCACTGTGTGGTTGTGCGCGCCCGCCGCGGGAGCCACGCCCAGGGACTGAGGGGTGAGGGGCGCGAGGGGAGCGAGGGGCGCAAGGGGCGAGTCGTGCTGCCTCGCTCTCGCCTGGCGCAAGTTGCGCAGGCTCTGGCCGGTAAGGTTGCTGAGCGAGCGCGGCAGCCCACTGAGAAAGCTGCGCGGAGTCCCCGGAGGCTGAGGCGTTGACGCACTCTCGCCCTACACGGTGTCCACACGTTACGGACCGCTTGTGTGGACATTTGGAGTGTCCGGCTCGAAGGATTAATGTGATTTTCACCCGAATTTTTGGTTTAAATCATATAATTGGACTCAAAACAAAAGTAAATACAATTTATAAGTATTTAGGTTCATAAGACCAGCTCTATTATAGCTCGGCTATTTACTTTGGGTCATTCGTTTCCATTCATCTCATCATCCGTCCATTCATAAGCTAGTATTTCCAAAGCCCACAAAATTGAAACTTTTAGAAATAAAATCAATGAAAACTTTTATAACATGACATACATACATACTCCAAATACCACACAAACGAAAATATCAACGTATTATAAATTTAAAACATTCTTACACAACTAAACGATATTGCTACACCCACTGCTCGTGCATATTTCTTCTATATAAACCTAGGCGTATATAACATTTACACAAAAACTCATTAACTACATAACATTTTACGATATACATAGACAATCACTATAAACGCCAACAATATAATATAAAACAAACATGCACAGCAAGCGGACACGTGACAAAACATGGAAAACAAAGGATTATTGACCAACACCCTTTCACATTAGCTAAGTTATTTACCAACGGTAGTAACAGTGCGTACAGCTATCGAAAACAAAATACACGCTTCTAAATATTTGCGGCTCAAAAAATTTATATATCCTTAAGACTCACTTTTCTAAATCTTTATTTCAATCAAATTGAAATTGTAAGGATTTAAAATTCTATATGGAATTTTTATAAAATTTTATTACTTCATTTAACTGACCAAATTTAATATAAAAACTTATTATACCCGTGTGTTTAAAGAATGGGATTGAAAATGGCGACTATTCACTTCTCGCTCGCACACTGTCGCTATCTATACTCACACCCACCGGTACAGACTGCAAAAAAACTACGATGCAATATGCGTTTTTCGTACGTTCTACAACTTGAGTCCAACTTGTCATTGAGATCAATGATAACAAAATGCCATAAAGTACCAAAAAAATGAGTGAAAATGATTTTTAAATTCTAATAAAACAATTGATTCCATTATAGAAGATCTTAACACCCGTAGTCAAGACAAATATAATTATTTTCACGGAACTATTATCAAAATTTATAAAAGGTAAGTAACTTTTTTCGAATTGGAAGTAAAGTGTTTAACTTTAGAGTCTCCATTTTTGCGCCGCAAATTGAAAATATAAATATTGTAGCTGCAGCAAATAATAATGGTAAAAGTGATTCAACTACAATAAATTTGAATGAAAAGCGTAATGAAATTCTAAATCTAAAAGTGATCCTTATGAATATAGATACAAGGTCGACATTACCTGAGCGGCCATTATCGTGTCAATTTCATGCTGAAGCTTGGAACATCGCTGCATGGCTGCTTCTAATTGAGCTTGTTTCCTTACGTCCGGGACTTTTTGCAATTCGTCTGGAATATAATTAAAGAAATATTAAAACTGGAAGAATAAAGAAAGACAGGAACTGTCATGAACATCCTGTGCCATATGAGAGAGAGCACACACTCGTGCATTATAATCCTGCGCATCTGCTCTGGCTAGTCTACAATGACCACCGTGTCTGAAATTCCGTCTAGTGGACATTTAAATTTAGTCTGTTGTTAGATACAGGCAACTGGTCCACAATAATAAGTAGCATGCCACGTCTACTAGACGCATTTTGATGCTACCCCGAACAGTGAACAGTGTATGCGTAAGCACAGGTGCACTCTCTATAACCTCACTCCCACAGTCCAATGGGACGGTAAACCGACACGGTCGGAGAGAGATCACGCGCAGGATCTGTCGTTGATCCTGCGCCTGATCTCTCCGACCGTTTCCGAACAGGCGGTTTCCGAAGTATGAGGGAGCAACACCGGCAACTTCCTAACTCCGTGCTGTTATTCAAAATTTCTTAACAGAAAACTCCAATGACGTAGAGCCCGACCCGGGAATTCGAACATGAAGCCAATATACCAAGGTGTTAATTTAAAATTACATTCATTGACATTTCCTACGCTACGTTTCGCTATTTATGAAATTTTTATATGCACATATTTTCATAATATGTATATGTAATTATGTTTATAATATGTAATGTATGGCTACTCATAGATATTTTTAACTTAGTTGCACTTTGCACACACAATATCTTCTCTACTTAGCCTGGAGGTAGACTGGTAGAGAATGACTTGTTGCATAAGCCCGCCTTTTTGTACTTGGTGTGCAAATAAAGCATACATAAATAAATTAATTAATTAATTTTTGAGTCCACCTTTATACTAATCACGCACATTTTTTAACCGTCGAAATTTTTTGATACCTTCAAGTAAATAAATTCGACGGTTATGAACTCGAGAAGAGACACAATGAAGTTAATAATGATCTTAATCCAAATTAATGAAAGGTTAATTTCTTACGTCAAATTTATCCTACAAATAAAACATAAAAAGATATTATTTAAAAAAAAAACAAAAATAATAATATTTAACGCCATTATGTCAAAATTCAATTGTTTTACACATGAAAACAAAGTTAAAATAAATATTCAAGAAGAAATATGACTTACTCCGCAGTTCTCTGATGTACTTCTGTTCTTTCTGTAGCATGAGCTTCATCGTCAGTACCTTCGACTCCTCCAACTGCCTCTGGTTCTCTGGCTGCAAAGGATCAATTGTTACCATTGTAAGGAATGACGGCAAAAGAGTACGTTCAATAATGCGATCGGAAATTTGCAGAACCGAAAGGAAGAAATATAATGATTTCTTATATTTACGCGAACATTGCACATGATTAAAACTACCCTTTTACGGATTTTATCGCGTTTATTTTTACTTTTTATTTTTAATTCCCGACGTTTCGGGCGCTTTCCAGCACCCATGGTCACGGGGAGTCCCCCCGTGACCATGGGTGCTGGAAAGCGCCCGAAACGTCGGGAATTAAAAATAAAAAGTAAAAATAAACGCGATAAAATCCGTAAAAGTAGTTTTAATCAGGAAGAAATATGTTTATATGGTAAAAACTAAAAACATTATAAAAAAAAATATACAACAAAAATTTATATTTTTTTATATAAGAGGACCATGTCTCAGATCCGTAAGTCATCACTGGCAACGCACACTGATTTTACAATCTAGTTTTCAGGTTTTGAGGTATACCTGACGAGAAAATGTGTCGTAATTTTCCGTAACCGACATAGCCCAAAGGATTAGTATGCTGAAGTGGCAGTGGGCCGGCCATATAGCTCGAAGAACCGACAACCGTTGGAGTGACGACCTGGTAACACATTGAAGTTGATAGATGCAGGTGGCTCAGGATCGTTCTTTGTCGCATACCTTGGGGGAGGCCTATGTTCAGCAGTGGACTTGTGAAGGGCTTTGATGATGATGATGATATAAGAGGGGCAAACGAGTACATGAGACTCACATGACGCTAAGTGACTACCGCCGCTTAAGAATAACTGCAACATCAGGGGAATTGCAGGTACGTTGCCGTTTAACAAGAAAAAATTACTACTTAAGAATAACAGGTTTGTTCAGGAATTTTTTATGAGTCCAATTTTTTTTACTTGTGCCAAAAACCACTGAACATTAAGTCACTTGAATTAAGTAAGACGAGAGTTTGTGACCGCTTTTTAATAGATCTTTGGGTGGGAGCTATTAAAGACAATAGTGGAAATTACGTAATGACAATTTGAAAAAAAAATACCTTTATAAAAACAATAAGAAAACTAATTACCTTTTTTATAGAATAAGGGTGATATACAAGTACGCAGTTCACCTGATTGTAAGTGGATGCTGTGGCCCATAGACATCTACATTTATCCTCGATTAAAAATCAATATTCAGATGTGTTGTCATCCCGGAAGACTAAGATGGAATGCCTCGTATCCAGTAAAAAGGATCTCCGTTTCTCTACACTCGACATACGAGACACACCACCATTAAGCTACTATTTTACGATATTATTCTGTAAGAACGTGGTCCTTCCCCGGTCGAGCCGACCCATTCGTGCTACAACCATAATATAGCTGCAGCATAGCTCTACCACGTTAACAAACATAATATGTATACCTATTATTTTGACTTAAAAAATAGATCTTACATTTTTTTGGCATTCATAAGCATAACATTATTTTAACAAACAGGAATAAAAAGGTGAAATAACTATTAGGCGATAAATGTATTATGAGATCTTCACTAAAACTTTTTTTGACAAGCCCTCCTCTATGAGTTGATTGATTCTTGACATACTAGACATAAAATACCTATATACTAAAACAAACACTAACAAACATGTATACGTTTATTAAAACACGGTTATAGAAAAACTTTTCCAGGTTTCACTGAGTATTACTGTACCGCGTCATCCACTTAAACAAATATTATAAACACATGCAGAAGTGTAAATTGAAGTATTTCATCTACGACCTCAAAATCCAATTGTTTGGACAGATGCAACGATTTCTAGAAGCCCAAGGATCGTTCGTGTAATGCGTGATACGTGGCACGCGGAGTTAGGGTTGCCAATCATGCTTTATTCCATAGTATCCTTTTTTATTCCAAGTCCGTAAAAGTAAATTAATGACGCGTAAATAGTTACTCAATCTAGCCAAAGGGTGCACATTACGTTTACCTAAACAAGGCCATTCCATGACACGCCATCTCCAACGGATGTTGTCACTTATACCTTCTACGACAGTCATGACCAACCCATTACCACTGCACACCCATTACACGGAAGGTTTTGTAGGCAACCTTGGTTTTCCGGCGTATTAAACATGAATATTATTTACATATTGAATCACAGAGGGTAGTTCTTTCCACCACTTACTGAGCATCGTTAAATCTCGCATTTAAATCAGATTGAAAATTTCTAAACCGGGAAAGGGGAGTAGCATCAAAGGTGCGAGGCATTTGTACTACAATCGCCAGTCTACCTGACAAGCATGGGCTTAGCGGTTGGCAATTAACCTTCTAAAATATGATAAAGGCCCAGAAATGGCCTGTTTACGGGCTAAAGAAGAAGATTATGAAATAATTTAGATTTGGAATCTCTTATTATTATACTATAAAATACCGGTTGGATCGAGAGGAAAGGTGGAATTGAGGAATTATCGAGCAACCCCCCACTCATTTGCGCAGTATAAAGTTCAGTGCAGGCGCCGGGCGCGAGAGAGTCCGTTAGACATGTGTCAATCATTCGGATCGATCATTCAAATATCCATTTTAGGGTCCAGTACCCTAAACTAAAAACAATTCATTCAGATCATACGGATTCGGTCGGTTTTCGACTTATTTACAATTCACACCGATCACGAGTTAAACATATTACCGTAAGGTTCCGTAAATTGTTTGTTATTGGTTGTACCGGAACATTCAAAAACAGATAAATGAACCATCAATACTTTTAAGTGTATCAGGTCAAACGAACGAATCATTAATTATTGACACAACATGTCTATAGTCTGTTTAAGTCATTCTACGTAGTAGTGCTAAGATAGTATCGTGGTTCTGTCCGTTGTGGTGGTTCTTCTGGTGCAGGCAAGGAAGATGGTGTTGCTGGGAGGCTGCACTGTGTCACATTGAGATGGGTAGTGTTGTTATTGTTTTGCGTACTTTAGTGTTATCATGTAATTATGTCCTTCACGTCACACCAGTGCGCGATTGTGACGGAGACATATTACCGTACGGTCGAAATGTACTTGCTCAATACTGAATGTATAAGTGCGTTACGCTGTCATATTGCTGGTAATGATTAATTGCGTAAGCAAGTTAAACATCCGCTCTCACACTTTTATTATTTTTAACAATTAATCTTTCCTGTTGTCATGTAGAAATGTTGGTCATGTGGAAAGAATAAATGAGGAAAGAGTGACAAAGCAAATTTATGTTGCAGAAGTGAATGGAAGAGTCGGAAAGGGACGTCTTAGGCGAAAGTTTATCGAGCAAATATAACCAACGAGCATGTATGCGTAGGTATATGAATGTGGAGGAGGCGGATGTGGTCTCTGCCTACCCCTCTGGGTGACAGGCGTGGTTTATGTATGTATGTAATCATTCTTGTTGTATTTCCGATATCAGAAGTGGGATCTTGTGATGAAGTTCCGATATCAAGATCTTCTTGTTTTATTTTCCGACATACTTATCGTATTATTTATACCTTTTATTTCCGATTTCCCTATCTGAAATATTTTGTGTGTTTTGGTCTAGAAATTTATATGATCCGATAAGTTGGCAACCCTGCATTACCACTCATCGAACTGTCGGAACGAAAAACAAATATGCAAAATTTGATATACGTTTTAGATCACGATGCAATGCCGGACGTGGCAATATATATCTATACGGCTTACTTTATTTGAGTGGGCGTGCACTAACACTTAAATTTTAAAGGAAGTAAGAATTTGAACAAGCATATGTTGGTATTTGTAAAATTTTATTTATTTTCTTAAACAAGGAAATATGGGAAACCCTAGGGGAGGCGTATGCCAAATAACAAGCTGATAATAACGTTACCGATGTCGCAGATTAAATTGAATTGTTATTATAAAATAAAATTTAACAGGTAAAATAACTAATGATTCTCCAAATTGTAGTATATTATCAGAAATAAAGGCTATTTGAATTTGAATGTAAAATTAGTTTTGTTGGATTTAGACCTTTAGCGCTGCATTCAACCTTTGAATAAATAACTTTATCTTTGAATTTCAAAGATAAAGTTATTTTACAAAGTATATTTTCGTTATTCAAGAAAGTCACGCCATCACTCAACAATCCAATACTGCGGGTGAACTTGTGAGACGAAACAGCTTTAAATTCAAACTAAAAACTACTTTTCATACAACTAACTTTTCAAAAACTAGTTAATATTTCTAGATATAATTAAACATTGAAACTAATAATAGTAATACTCACATTGACAGGCAGCGGTGCAGTGATTGGAGTCCTATTCCGGGAGCTATTCTGCTGAACTGTCAACACTGTAGTCGGCTTGGCTGAAATCATAAACAATTTAAACTGTATCAACATCGATCGTCATCACAAACATAAGATAAACATATGTGTAATATAGTGGCACGGTATTTTAGTTAGGATGATTCTGTAACTGACATTTCATTATTAACTTCTTAAAATTAGCTTTCTTCAACATCCATAGCACGAATCATTTAAAAAAAGTTCATTGAACGAAGTGATTCTCAAGAGAACACCCTTGAATATCCTAGATCAACGTCTATGTAGTAGGGGTCGCCCTAAACTATTCAAGTATTCAGTTGATAAAACATTTATTTAACACTTGGTAATATGTGTACAAATAACATTAAACACATAAACACTCACGCCTGTCACACAGAGGGGTAGGCAGAGACTACAGACTTCCATTTGGCACGATCCTGACACACCTCTCTCGCCTCCTTCACATCCATACACCTACGCATACATGCTCGTCGGTTAAGGGTACTCCTAATTTGGCCCGTTTTTAATAAATCGCCAATTTGGTCGATAAATTTTCGCCTAGGACGTCCCTTTCCGACTCTGCCATTAACTTCTGCAACATAAATTTTCTTTGTCAGTCTTTCCTCATCCATTCTTTCCACATGACCAAACCACCGAAGCATTCCTTTCTTAATCCTGGTCACAACATCATCTTGCAAACCACACTCTTCTCTTATTACACAATTTCTTATCCTGTCATTCAGATTCAGCCCTAACATACTCCTTAACGACCGCATTTCTACTGCGTTCATTCTACTTTCGTTCTTTTTCTGCGACACCAAACTTTCACTACCATATGTTAAAGGGACTAACACAGCATTGTGAATTGCCATAAGTGCCTTTTTCGACACATTTTGACTCTTCACAATATAGTGTAGGGCCCCATTTACTCTATTTCCCGCCTTTTATATCCTTATCATATCTCCCATCCCTGCTAAATACGCAGCCCAAATATACAAACTCGTCTACTTGCTCGATCAACTCCCCTTCTATTCTTATTTCACAAATCGTTTTACTTTCTTCTCTTTCAAAAACCATAACCTTCGTCTTACTTGCGTTCACTTTCATACCCCTTTCTTTTAATGATCTGTTCATTAATGTGACCATCATTTGCAACTCGGCCGCCGACGACGCAAGGATAACTTGATCATGGGCGTACAAAAGGTATTTGACGGTTAACTCACCCATTCTTAGTCCGCATTCTTCAACTTTCAAATTTTGCAAACACCTGTCCATAAATAGGTTGAACAGCCACGGGGAAGCCACACAGCCCTGTCTGACACCTTTATGGATGTCAAACCAGTGCGAGTAGACCCCGTTGATCCTAACACAAGCACTAGAGTCCCTATAAAGAGACTCCAATGCCTGTATCAAGCCTGCGCTCAACCCAAATGATTTCAGTGTTTGCCATAGCACATCCCTATCAACTCTGTCATAGGCCTTTTCCAAGTCCATGAACGCACAAAAAAACCTTTTGGTTTTTGGCCAAAAACTTCTCCGCGATCATGCGCATGGAAAAGACTTGATCTGTACATCCCATTCCCTTTATAAATCCCGCTTGCACATCCCAAATTTTTCCATCAGTTTCTTTCATGACCCTTTCAATCAGTACTTTAGCATACAGTTTTCCCACAATGCTAAGAAGGCTGATGCCACGGTAGTTTTTACAGTCCTGCTGCGACCCTTTTCCTTTACACATTACAAATAACAAATAAGTCTTTAAATAAATCACACATGATATTTATCACTTAGTAACTTTGTACAGGTGTTTCAAAAAGAAATAAGTTAGTATAAATTAACTAATTAATAAAAAATTAAAAATGTATATGTGGTAAAGCCACGCTGCAGCTATATTATGGTTGTAGCACGAATGGGTCGGCTCGACCGGGGAAGGACCACACTCTCACTTTTGTATGGTAAGTGTACAAATACGGAGATTCTTTTTTACTGGAAACGAGGCATTCCATCTTAGTCCCCAGGGGTGACAGCACATCTGCGTTTTGATTCTTAATCGAGGATAAATGCAGATATCTATGGGGCATAGCATCCACTTACCATCAGGAGAACGTATGCTCGTTTGTCACCCTTACTCTATAAAATAAATTGCACACATAGTATTTTCAATAAAATACAATATTTTGATTAAATATATTGTTCAGTTAAGGAAGGTAATGAGACAACATGAAATTTTAAGATATTTCAAAATCTTTTCTCATATTTTTCATTTGCAGATGCCCACCACTCGTAAAGTCGCAAATCTGTTCAATACACCCTGTCAATTGTTGGTGTTTCAAGATATGGGTCTCATTGCCATTTTAGCTTTGTGGGACTATCAAGCTTTAACTAGTGCGCTTTATACTACGTCACCACTTACCATCATGTATCATAGTAGTAAAGATATGGCTGGCAAAATATATAGTATACAAAGTATACCTATCGTATTATATCATTGAAAGTATGTCGAACGTGAATAACAATTAAAGAAAGACATTCGGGGAAAGTTATTTCGTGCAACAACGTAGCCAGCTCTACTAAGCCTTCTATCGAAATTGAGTACAGGCAAACCATTTTATGCTTCTTTATCAGGTGGATGTAAGTCTCTCCTGCTGCAGGAAAGAATAACCTTAATCTTCAGGCTGGCGGATTGAGTTTCGTAGAACCATACGTTAGCACTATTGAGGCTGCTGTCTTATTTTTATATATAGAATAAGGGTGACAAACGAGCACTTAGCCTACCTCATAGTAAGCGGACGATGTTGCTCATACACATTTAAATTTATCCTCGATTATTTTATATTAATTAAAATGCAAATGCGTTGTCACCCCTGTGGAATAAGATGGAATGCCTCGTTTCCAGTAAAAAGGGTATCCGAATCGCTGCATTCACCAACTGATATCACTAATAGCAATTTCTTAACTCCACAGAGTCAGTAATTCATTAATGGGACAATGTATAATGGGACGTCCTAGGCGAAAATTTATCGACCAAATTGGCGATTTATTGAAAACGGGCCAAATTAGGAGTACCCTTAACCGACGAGCATGTATGCGTAGGTGTATGGATGTGAAGGAGGCGAGAGAGGTGTGTCAGGATCGTGCCAAATGGAAGTCTGTAGTCTCTGCCTACCCCTCTGGGTGACAGGCGTGAGTGTTTATGTTGTATACGCTATTACAACAAAGTCTAAGAAAATATAGGTACAAGGTCTCTCTAATACCAAATCGAATACAACTCTAATACAAAACTAATACAAAAACCGGCGGCCAGCCTCAACGGAGACTAGCCATCTGCGCAGGGCAGGATTAGAGATTCAAAGTGTATTCGCAAGCACAGGTGCACTCTATTGTTGATGTCTTCTTCATATGCATATGCACATGGAGGTTTCGGGCCTCGGGGTAAGCCCCCATTACCCGTGCTGTCCTCGCGGTCCACCACTATGGACCGGTCCTGGGAGCCTTCTATTGGCATTGTAGGTGTCAAAAATACGGATTGTCCGTAATCGGTAAAATTTTTCGTAGCCGGTTAAGACTACGAAAAAAGAAGGTTATCCAGTGAAGTCAAGGTTGGCCTTTCAGCGGCATTGAGGGTTGTTACTCGACTCTCTAATCGATATAGAGAGGAGTTCTCTTGGATAGGGTCGCCCGTCCGGAGGGCGAGTGTGTAGCGGCGCAAAGTTGTTGAGATGTATATGCGGCCCGTTGTCTGCACGGTCGAACAGTCCGCGCGCCAACCGGGCCACAAATTCCTGTATGGTGTCGATCTTCAGGTTGGCCGCTATGACGTCATTCCGGACGTAGCGACCCGCACCGACGATGGTTCTTAACGCCATGTTTTGCTGGGCCTGCAGTCGCCGCCTCAGAGGCTCACTCAGAAGCGCGTACCAGGCCGGAGCAGCATAGGTGATGATGGCTCTGATGTAGGTTTTGTAAACACGCACTTTAGTATTAAGTGGTAACTTGGATGCCAGGACCGGACGTAGCATCGCCCGCGCACATCGTGCTCTACGGACGACGAGGTCGACGTGCGCAGTCATGCGCAGCGCCCGGTCGATCCGGCACCCAAGGTAGGTCACGGCCTTCTCGTACGCGATCTGCTGGCCATTGAGGGTTAATGGAGGTGGTAGGTTCCTGAGGCGGCGAGTGAGCAGAGCGGTCGTCTTACCAACGTTGACGACCATCCTCCACTCATCTAGCCATGGTGGCAACAGGTCCAGGAGGCGTTGCATCCTGGCAGCGGCAATATGGGCTCTTCTGGAAGAGGTGAAATAAGCGCTATCGTCCGCATATAACGCCAATTCCACGTCGTCCTCCCATTCTTGCAGCCTGCCTGCCAGGGTCGGGATGTCGTTGGTATAAGCCGCGTACAGGACTGGAGACAAACAGCTGCCCTGAGGAACGCCGGCTCTGATGGTTCTGGTTGCGGACTCGGCGCCCTCTACGCAGACGTAGAACTTCCTGTCTGCCAGGAAAGACGCCACTAGCCGCAACATAGCAGGAGGGACACTGGTCTGTTCTTCTAATTTAAAAAGTAATCCAGAATGCCACACCCTGTCGAACGCCTTCTCGATATCGAGAAAGACGCCCAACGTGGTGCGGCCACGGTTGTAATCGGCCGCAAGCAGGTGCAGCACTCTGGTCAGCTGTGTTGCTGTAGAGTGACCCCTCCTGAATCCGTGCTGCTCCGCCCGAAGTTGGATGCACGGGCGGAGGCGTCTTAGCAACAATCTTTCAAGCAGTTTAGCTATGTGTGGTAGCAGCGTGATCGGCCTGTAGCTGGCAGCTCTACGCCTGTCCTTCCCGGGTTTCGGCAAGACGATAACTTTGCCTTTCTTCCAGTCCTCCGGGAAGTGGGATGTCCGCAGGATCCCATTGTAGAGTCGACCAAGCTCTACTAGGACTCTATGGGGCAGCTGTCGGAGTGCAGCGTTGGTAATCCCATCGTGCCCCGGCGCCTTCCTCGGTTGCAGGCGGGTTGCTGTCCACCGCAGTTCAGCGGGGGAGATGAACCACTCTCCTGCAAGAGGCGGCGCGGGCGACGACAGGAACTCCTGTACGCGACTCTCCTTTCGGGCATGAAGCTCCAAGAACTCCGCACTTGCTGGGTTCGGCATAAATTGCTCCTCGAAGTGCTCGACTAGGATATCCGCTCTCCCCTTGGCATCGTAACAACGTTCGCCCGCGTTGTTGGTCAGCGGGCAAACGGGAGGTTTGGCTTTAGTTAACTGCCGGTTCAGTTTGTAGAGCGACGCATCGGTGCACTCTATTCCTTCACTCTCACAATAAGAAGGTTATCCGACACGACCGGAGAGACCAGGCGCAGAACCAACGGGCTTTACTTGCTTTTCGAGGCACAGGAGTGAAACACTGCCAACTTTCTGTCTTCCGGCTGCTCATGAGAATTTCTTGACAGAAAAACCCAACAATTGTTTTTGGCCCAATCCGGGGTTGGAACCCGGTACCTCACGACCAACAACCACATTCACGACAACTATACTAACGACAATAGTGCAAACACAAAGGCTCACCCTAACCTAGATCTATGTACATACTCGTACAGGCGCAGTGATAAAGCCACAGGAACAATGAAACCAAATTCGAAACTTCACATTCCAAAACTACCACAATTTATAGACTCTTTATATAGATACTAGCGATTCGGCCCGATTTCGCACGGGTTATTTCTGGATCTCGACAACAACGCCACCAATCGGGTCCAATAGAGGATCTAAAACATTCTATGATCAACTTAATCACACACAAAATTTCATCAAAATCGGTCCAGCCGTTCAATCACATACCTACACGCAAGGACAGAATTATATAATTAATATCCTCCAGACCGAATTTCGGCCATGGCGGCCTGCCTCAACGGAGGCTAGCAATCGGCGCAGGACAGGATTGTAGTGCCCAAGTGTATGCGCAAGCACAGGTGCACTCTCTATTCCCTCACTCTCGTAATCCGATGTGACGGTAAACCGACAGGAGAGAGATCAGACGCAGGACCAACGGCTTTACGTGCTTTCCGAGGCACGCGGGTGAGACACCGCCAACTTCCTGACTTCGGGCAGCTACTGAGAATTTCTTGACAGAATAACTCAATAATTGATGTTTTGGCCCGACCCGGGATTCGAACCCAGGACCTCATGATCAGCAGTCGCACTACTACAACCACTAGACCAACGAGGCAGTCAATTATACCTATATAACGATAAGATTTTGTGTTTGATCTGCGAGTAACTGTGTATTACAACCTAGTTCTAACCATCCCCCTCACCTCGTATCATATGCACGACCTGTTGATGCGTGTGCTGGTACACGTGCACCGAGTCCACGCACAGTATGCGGTCACCTGCTCGCAAGCCAGCACGCCAAGCCGCCCCGTGTTCCTTCACCGACTGCACGTACACAGGGTTGTCGCCTGGAACAGCCAAAAACAATAATAAATTAAGCTCGGGCTTGGATGTTGATGATGATGAAAGATTCATCACTCTTTATATTAGACACTCTTTAAATTAGATTTGCAACGAACAATAAATTCGACCGCACGCCAAATACCGTTCTGCGGGCTTCTTGACCGAATTGCCGAAACTTAACATAAGCCGCGAAATAAGTTTTTTTATTCTATAATTAGAATTGCTTACGAGAAGAGAAGGAGTAAACTACTGCCCAAAAACATTAAAAAATAAGTCTTTCTGCACCATAATCTTCCACTTCTAAATTTTAATTACGATAATTCAATTGACATTCGTAAACATTTATTTGATAGCTTTTTGTTAATTATATAATACGAAAGTTAATTACATTGCTATGAGCACTTCAATGATAACAAATTTCTGACAACAACCAAACATTTTACTTAAGGTGCATGTTTGAGAAAAATGCCGCGCTAGTAGTTATTTGTGAGGTTTTAAGAGCAATCTACTTGATATTAAAAATATATCAATTAATAAAAATCTATTAAATCTCTACATAATCTTGATTTCATAACAGCCTTTACGTGGTAGAGCCATGCTGCAGTTATATTAGTAGTATAGTTGTAGCACGAATGGGTCGGCTTGGCCGGGGAAGGACCACGCTCTCACAGAATACCAGCGTGAAATGGTAGCTTGATGCTGCTGTGTGTCGTATGGTGAGTGTAGAGAACCGGAGACCCTTTTTACTGGAAATGAGGCATTCCATCTTAGTCCTCACGGGTGACAACGCATCTGCATTTTGATTTGTAATCGAAGATAAATGTAGATGTCTATGGGCTACAGCAACCACTTACAATCAGATAGACTGTGTGCTCGTTTGTCACCCTATCCTATAAAAAAGCCAACTCCAATTTTTTTAAAAGCAGTAAACACTTGATGAATCTCCCTACAACTAAACCACAGAAATGCGAAATAATTATTGATAACATGCGTCTCCTCGTAAAGTAAGCATTATTATATTTTGCGATTTATTTATGAACATTTTGATCTGTTTAATTTTTTCAAAGATTATAAAGATTTCTCTTAATTTGGGCGTATTTCCTACGTGAGAGTGGAGTGTCGCCAAATATCGAATAATAGCTGAATATTCGTTGCAAGTCTACCTTAAACGGTTGTCAATTAAGTTTCTGTTATTAAAACAAGCTTAGAACCGTTATATTTACAACCTGAAGCCAGTAATGCCTACAGCAATTTATTAATGGATGAAAATAATTGGGATGTGTTTCCATCCAATTACAATAAGTGGTAGAGCCACGCTGCAGCTACAACCATAATAGCACGAATGGGTCGGCTCGACCGGGGCAGGACCACGCGCTTACAAAATACCAGCGTAAAATAGCAGTTTAATATTGCTGTGTTTCATATGGTGAGTGCAGAGATCCGGAGACTCTTTTTACTGGAAACGAGGCATCTTAGTTCCCAGGGGTAACAACGCATCTGCGTTTTGATTTTTAATCGAGGATAAATGTAGACGTATATGGGCCATAGCATCCACTTACCATCTGGTGGACTGTGTGCTCGTTTAACACCCTTATTCTATAAAAAACAATGTGGATGTGTTGCAGGCAAGGGAATAGGCATTTTGCAAACGAAGTCAACGCTTCACCATCTTCGGCACCATCTATTCATTCATAAAAGTCCATCGCTAAACTGAGGATGAATGAGAATCAATCCAAAAATTGGGTTGACAACCGCAGTTTTTATTATTTTGTGTTGTTATCAGGAAGATGCTCCTGTCCATCTCCTGTTTCAGTTTTCCTCTGTCGCCTCTTACGACAATCACCCGACGATCTGGGCTAAAAAATAAACATACCTTCATTAGATACGTAAGTATTCAAATATTTAGTAGGCATCCGTTATTAGTACTAGTTTAAACTCAATCTAACTTCTAGGTATTTGCTAAAATTATTTTCATTGATTCACTTAGGACAACCAACAAGATACATTGTAACGAAGAATTTTACATAAATATTAATCGTGATAAAACGTTTTTTTTTTGATTAACGATCGACACAACTTTTGCATTTAACATAAATGGCAACGAAAAGGCAAAAAATAAACAACGACGGATTTATAATGTCAACTATGTAACAATTTATCAAATTAAAATTATTTTCACAGGAGCCCTTAATAATTCTGTTATGATATGTACGTCTATGGAGCGGTATCTGCGAGCTATCCAGAGGGCTATACTTAGGTCATGCGTGATAGACTTAAAAATAAGGATATCTACAGTAGAACCAGAGTAACCGACATAGACAAACTAATTAGTAAGCTGAAATGGCAATGGGCCGGCCATATAGCTCAAAAACCCGACAACCGATGGGGTAGGAAGATTCATCAAGCAGCCTTATACCGGTAGATAAAGTGTAAGGCGTCCCCCCACTAGATGTGGTGACGATCTTGTAAGACATGCAGGAAGTCGATGGAATCAGGTGGCTCAAGATCGTTCTTTATGGCATTCCTTAGTGGAGGCCTATGTTCAGCAGTGGACTCGTGAAGGGTGATGATTATAATAATAATAATAATGTCCTCCAGATCGAATTTCGGTCATGGCGGCCAGCCTCAACGGACACTAGCCATTGGCGCAGGACAGGATTATAGTGCCCAAGTGTACGCGCAAGCACAGGTGCACTCTCTATACCCTCATTCTCATAATCCGATGGGACGGTAAACCGACACGAACAGAGATAGATCAGGTGCAGTACCAACGAGGCACGGGGGTGAGACACCGTCAACTTCTTAAACAACTCAATAATTGATTTTTTGGCCCGAGCCGGGATTGAACCCAGGACCTTATGATCAGCAGTCGCACTACTAACCTCTAACTAATCACTAGACCAACGAGGCAGCCATGGCTGTAATGAATGAATGAGTAAATGATGTGTATAAAACAGGGGAGATATTTATTTATTAAAAAAAATACATAATATATAATGTGAGGTTCAATATTACATTATGGAGCAAGTGCCTTTACACTTAAAAGTGTATCATGCCTAAAATGTCTGGACAATCTTACGGTGATTGTTCTTAATCGTCCACGAGGGATAATCCCTAACTTCCGCGCAAGATGCAGCTCGCGTGGATTGCCTGAGCAGGCTTCTCAACAGCGTTCTCCTCTGGGTAACATTACTGATCAGTACTCCGCCTTAACTTCGGGCAACCAGACTAATTCAGGCAACAAAAATCCGAAAAACAGGAACTCTTTTCAATATCAATATAACGCGCATCTCATTCATCTCAAATTTGTAAGGCAACTTTGACCTTTTTTCTAGCCTACGATTTTTGCCTAATAATCTTAATCGCCTTTAGAAAGAAAAGGCTCTACAGACACTACCACTAAGAATGTACCAATATCAATAAACTAGTCAATCTCTCAAGTCTATAACTTGAGACTGGCTACTGCACTTCACCATCCCATCATAATCGAAGCTGTGAACTCACCGGAGACCTTCATCCCATAGCCGTGCTCGTCGCGCACCACGGTGACGGTGAGCAGCTCGCCGCCGCTCGGCTCGCCCGCCCCGCCCGCCCCGCCCAGCATCACCTGACAACGAGAGAAAAATGTTTATTCACTAGTTCTCTTATATTTAACACATTACTGGGTATTGATGTAATGATATGCGATTGCTATGGGTTCTAATTAACGCTATATTTCTAATGAATACCTACATACGATGCTGCCGTATATAAAATCTAACACATGAGAACAGTTTTAATTTTACGGGCCAATAAAATAAAATTAAATCAATTTATTCAAAACATTATACATTGTGAAGAATACATTAAGAATTATAATTTATAACCAATCAATACATAAGCAAAACAAAATATATTTTCTTAACAACGGTAATGTCATAAAAATATAAAACAAACCGTCATATTAGATTTCAGATCACGTTACAATAATATTAAGATGATCGAACCCTATCATCAACAAAGTCATCAGCACTATAAAAGCATTTTCCCAGCAAAAAATTTTTCAGCTTAGTTTTGAAACCGTACAGACATCTTTTTAGGTCGACTGGCAATCTAGTCAATAAATTAACCAACTGATATTGTAAGCAGTGCTTGGATAAACTAGACGAGGAATAACTTTATTCTTAAATAAAATGGTTGTAGGCACGAGGTAAGTGAAAAATTACGCCGGACTTCTACCGGCTAAAACCCCTAGGTAATCAGCATCAGCGTAACTCCGTTCGAAACAAGACCCGAGTCTCTCCCGCCATCGCTGTGTATTGATAGCACGTCCAGAGAGCAGCACTTGCTGCCTCAGCATCCTTACTTTACTGTCACAATATCTTGAAACAAATTTCGAGTCATCTACCTCCTCTGGGTCGCCAGATACACCAGAAGCCTCGTTTCTGGTAACCTTTATCACGAGGATAATCGCGACGAAAACCTTGGCGACATCGTCTTCGAGTGGGATCTATGATAGTTGTGTAATTAACAGTCTCACTTAAAACATAACCAAGTTAAATTTTATTTGATTAGGTAATAGATTAATGGTTACAACATGAGTTCTCCGCAGTAAACTGTCTAGGGATGCATCCGATACCGATACCGATGCCGAATTATTTATTTATTTATTTATTACACAAAAATACAGTCGGTTATTCTTTATACAACTTTCGCCAAACTGCAGGTCAGTTTGTTGGCGAATACATCACCCTCTTACATTTTATTCTACTATCCTTAGAAATTTAAAATATACATAAACTGTAATTTAAAATGCAATCCTTAAAAACTTAAAAATAGGAAAATTAAATTTACACTAATTTAAAAGATTTAAAATAGTTAAAGCTTATTTTAAATACATTAAAAATAACAAATTAATTTAAAACTATAACTTTAAGTCAATATTAATTATTATACATATAATTATCCAGCAACAACGCTTTTACTTCTTTTTAAATATTTCTTTATTGCCGCATTCGTTTTCAGAAAATATCTCATTGAAAATTCGTGGCACTAGATATTTTCTCGTCCTCTTGCCGTAATAATTATTAACTCTATGCTCAACGTATTTTTTTCGCGAAGTAATTCTAATATTTTTTTATCAGCGATACTCGAAGTTTGCCGATATAACCAATGATATTATAAAAAAACGCCTTTTTACTTGTTAATTTAATATCATTGGATATAACGGCATCGGCAATATTTTTATGGCCGATTCAACGATACTTTTCAAATTTCGCGCTTCAAAAATGTAATGCAAATGCGTGTGTTGTCTCGTCTATTTCGTTGCACACGAAACTGTCTAGAATTTTAAACGGTTTTTTTAGTTTGTCCTGTTATTTGTTATTTTTATATTAATTTAAAAAATAACCTGACTTGTGTTTTATTTATTTATTCTTAATTTTTGAATTCAATAAGCGTATTCGTATCGGTATCGCCGGTATTTTTATAAGAGCATCAGTATCGGTATCGTATCGGCAAAAAGGCGTACCGAGTCATTCATAATACTGTCCGATATACAGCGGGTATAAGAATCGCCTGATGTCTACTAATTATAGTTATCTCGTTTCTAAATCTATGCATATAAATAAAATTGAAGTGTATGTCTTTGCTATTAAAATAACTGCCTTTTATCGAGTTCAAAGGTCTATTTGCATGTCATTAAGACGTGAATAACAATCAAAAATATTAAGCAAGCGAAATTGCAGGAATTCGCTACGGTTTGAAATGTTACGTCCATATGTTCCGGCTACAACTGACGTAAATTGCACCGATTTGTGAATTAAAGAGTTGTAGTAGTTTTTTTAAAAAGCTACATATATATGCGACGAGCACACTACAAAATATAAAATATATTCTTGTGGTTTACTTTTTACTAGCAAAATTTTAACAATAGGTAGGCCAGTCTGATTATAGGTACACTAGAAACGTGCAAAGAAAACTAATAGTAAAAACGATGGATGTATGTGTAATAATAAAATTATATAGGATGTTATAATTTCTTACGTTTATGCGAACACTACACATTTAATGAAACGAAATTACCGCTATAAAATCTCTAAAACTTGTTTAGTTTCATTTTCGACACATCATTAATTTTTCGTACCCTAGGTATGTCGTTCTTTTTTTCACAAATATTTTTCAAAAATTAAAAATGAAGTAAATGTTGTTAAGTCCTTTATGTATAAACGTCGGATTTAACTAGTGTAATGATGACAGTTTCCACAACATTAAACGAGTTTTTGAATACTCTTGGTACAACCTATTTTATAATTTATTTAAGGCAGCCTTATACTAGCGTAGCGTTAGAACCGTGGTAGCTCAGATGGTTAACGCTCGCTGTAAATATAACAGAACGCGAGTAACCCAGGTTCGATCCCCGCCGGCACCAATGAGATCGTTAATTGCAATTTTAAGTGATGATTTACCACGTGCTCGGCGGTGAAGGAAAACATCGTGAGGAAACCTGCATGTCTGAGGAATAAGAAAAAAAATATTTCGAAGACATATTTTTTTTTCTTATTCCTCGCTGAGTTCGCCAACACGCATTGGGGCTGCGCGGCGGGCAGTTCTTTGCCCTAAAACACTCAGATATGAGAGGAGGCCTGTACCCAGCAGTGGGACGTAAATAGGCTGTAACTTTTATATTAGCGTAAATGATGCCCTTCTGATTTATATTCACATTTTATTAGTTTATTTAAGTGTGAATAAGTTCGGTACAAATGTTTTCACATGTTACATTTAAATATACTACGGAATTTCGCCAAGAGTTTTCACATGTTAGAATTAACCGCAAGCATAGAAAATATTAAAATCATTTATTGTTCAAACAAAAAGTAATTTTTTTATTTACTTACAAGCTATAAATTCGTTATATAATTCTGTTTGGCCGGACGTAATTCCATCGACGAATCGAAGTCGGAATTTATGACCCGGCTCCAATGTAACCGCACAGTAACCGTAACACCGTTTCAACGATAGTAAATATTTACACGGGACCGTAGCTAAACTCATATGAAAAATATCTGGCAAGATAAATTGACCGTTCCAAATTGATTACCCAACCTTTACAAATGGAAACTTGAAGAAAATCAAAAGAGAGAGCAAACAATATACGCGACGCTTAATAAATAAACTATAAGCAAATTAACTCTAACTTAAATAACTAAGTAAATTTGATTATTACACCAACCAATTTTTTTATTGAATAATAGTGACAAACGAGTATATGATCGTTCCAAGTGATAGTATTATAGAATTTAGATGGAACGACTCGTTTCTCGTAAAAATGGTCTCCGGATCTCTACAGTCACCATACGAAACACAGCAGCATTCTGACGCTATTTTACGTTGGTATTCTGTGAGAGCGTGGTCCTCCCCTGATCGAGCCATAATACTCGTAAAGCTGCAACGTCGGTATAAATATAACAACATAACATAACATAAACACTCACGCCTGTCACCCAGAGGGGTAGGCAGAGAGTACAGACTTCCATTTGGCAAGATCCTGACACACCTCTCGCCTCCTTCACATCCATATACCTACGCATACATGCTCGACGGTTAAGGATACTCCTAATTTGGCCCGTTTTCAATAAATCGCCAATTTGGTCGATAAATTTTCACTTAGGAAGTCCTTTTCGGACTCTGCCATTCACTTCTGCGACATAAATTTTCTTTTTCTCTCTTTCCTCATTCATTCTTTCCACATGACCAAACCACCGAAGCATTCCTTTCTTAATCCTGGTCACAACATCATCTTGCAAACCACACTCTTCTTTTATCACACAATTTCTCACCCTGTCATTCAGATTCAGCCCTAACATACTCCTTAACGACTACTCTCGTGATTCTTCTGCCACACCCAACTTTCACTACCATACGTTAAAGTAGGGACCAACACAGCATTGTGAATTGCCATACGTGCCTTTTTCGATACATTTTGACTCTTCACAATAGAGTACAGGGCCCCATTTACTCTATTTCCCGCATTCACTCGTCGTTTTATATCCTTATCATATCTCCCATCCCTGCTAAATACGCAACTCAAATATACAAACTCATCTACTTGCTCGATCGGTATAAATATATAAATATAATATATACCGCGTAATGTCTTACTTACGAATTTTTACAGAAACAGAAACAGAAACTTTTTTATTCAATGTAGATTATAACAATACTTATTTATTGAAAGTCACTTTTTTATTTACCACTGGTTCACAGAAAAATCCTCTGTCCTGGGAAGAACCAGAAAGAAACCAAGCGGAACTATTTTTTTCCAATAATAGCTTACAATCATGTTTACAATTAGCAACACAGGACAAATTAGAAATAGCTTGGTAGCGATCACCCTTCCCAGGGGTTATTATCATACATAAATTCCTTTATATTATAATAACCCTTTTTATACAAACTTAGTTTAATAATATTTTTGAACTTTGTGTATGATAAATTTTGTATATTTTCTGGGATTTTGTTGTAAAAGCGTATACATCGCCCCAAGAATGAATTACTGACTCGGTGGAGTCGAGTAACTTGTACTAGCAGCTTGTGTCTGCTCCTAGTATTTAAAGAATGAATATC